AGCGCTACCACTGCATTGTGTTATTTTTCATAATGTAACGCTTTTGCGTGGGGTTAGAGAAATAACTCAACGGCTTGAGGTATTGGCTATTTACCGCATGCAAAAGCGTTGCGGTATAGGGCACATTACGTGCACGCGTGAGGAAAAAATAAATATATACTGTTCTAAAATCGATGCATTAATATTAGACAGTTAGCCTGGATCCTCATACGGACAACAGCGCTTTGACACCGGACGCTGATTGGTGAAAAACGGGTTATGGGGGTAAATTTTACCCTCGCCACCGGTTTTTCACCAATCAGCGTTTGGTGTCAAAGCGTTGTTGCCCGTATGAGGATCCGGGCTTAGTGAAAACAGCCTTAGGGATTGTTTTGATGTGGAAGAGCGGACACGAGTCGCACATCCCCCCCTCGCCCGGCTCACTAATAAACTGAGCAATCATCATTTAAATACATATTAAATAAAATTATTTTAAATACTACCGACTGTTGACTGGTATGACGTATATTTAAAACTATCGCAGAGATAGTAATCACGAGTTAAATTGTAATATATTTTACCACAAAAAGTATCTGATTATTAATTAAAGATGCCAGTACAAAGTGAACATACATAAAGTGTATGTAACTTTCGGCCACTTTGTACTGGCACCTTTAATTAATAATATATCAGTTACTTTTCATGGTAACATTTTATTATTAGACAGCAGAAAGCGGAGGCGATTAGAAAATCGGCCGAAAGTTACATATACTTTATGTATGGTATGTTCACTTTGTACTGTCATCTTTAATTAATAATATATCAGTTACTTTTCATGGTATCATTATATTAGATAAAAAGGTTTAAATTTTTGATATAATATTATATAACTAAACATAGAGAGAAATATGAAATTTAATAGACAAATTTAATACACTTACCTATAAAATAATATTTATTGTTTTATTAAGACGAATCTATTAAAAATTCACTCACTCACTTTTTTAAACTGCTAGTATCATTTAAACTCAACGAAATTACATTTAAAATTATGAATTAAAAATAAAGTGCAAATGGAAAACAATCAACTATTCAATTACTACAAAAGATTTATCTCCAAAAAATTATATAAATGTAAAAATAATCTTTTATGTGATATATATACTTTAAAAAAAAGAAAAATGTATTTTGATTATGCTGTATTACTCTTTTTCCTTTACATTAATCAAATCAAGATTACCAAAGTGCTATAATACATAATTTATATATCTATGTGTAATATATATATAATATATTATAATTAATTAATTTATCCTATATTAATATTTAAGGGGATCCTAAATTACCCTACAGGCCTCCTGTATTACCGACAAAATCGTATAATTTTTGTATCGTAAATACTTTTTTTGTCATTCACAGATTCGAAAATCCTTTTACAGAATTAAAGTATACGCATTAATACGTATCTGTGAGGTAGAATCTATGCTAAAAACGATAAAAAATTTCAAAATTGAGTTCTTCTTTACCATTTTTTAGTCCAATATGGCGCTCCAGAGCTGTCACGTCGTTGCACGTCGTAACAACATTTGTTTTATGTAAAAGCTGCGCAATCTGTACTTAAGAAATAGTAGTCCACAGATACGTAGTTTGCATGAAGAAACAGCGTGGAGTTCTTAAAATTAGATTTAGATGTCTAATTAAAACATAATTACGATACAAAAATCTACGTATATGTGTGGCATGCGTGAGTAAGTATTGACATAGTGATGTGTCAATGACACGTAATCGTCTATGTGTAAGTACGATAGTCGGTGCGGTAATACAGACCTGTTTTAGGATCTCCTTAAGGGATGCTGGACCCACGAAATTGTGGATCTTTACAGTCTTAAGAAAATCTCCGAAACGACTGAACGGAATGAGAAATCCCTTTACAGGATTAATATACATACAAAATTAGTTAGTGGCGTTGAGAATTATATGCTAAAATCGAAAAAAAGTTAAAAATTTACATTTTTTTTCAACTCGTAGATGTGTCATCTGACGAGAATATTTCCTTGATAACCAAGTTTTACTGCTTGTATGGACTAACTGATTCAACATCACCCGGCGTATTACGTGAACAAACAACACTGACTTTACAGAATTGAGATTGAAAGAACCAAACAAGATATTTTCATTGA